TCTCTCTCTCTCTCTCTCTCTCTCTCTCTCTCTCTCTCTCTCTCTCTCTCTCTCTCTCTTCTCTCTCGATCTCCGGCGCACACGCACACACACACACCCACGCATCACTTTGACGGTGGTCGCAGGTTATCCCTTGTGCGAGGTAAGGAACGAGAGGAGTGCCTGGCTGCCGAAAGCGCTCATCGGAATCATGAGTGGTTTTTCAACAAAACCATCCATGACTTCGACCGAATGTCTCGTCAATCGAACAAGCGGAAAAAACTAATCAATCTGCCAGAACTGCGAGCACATACAACCCGCATTCACGTGGCTTGCGTGAACCCTCCCTGGCAAGCCATTGCCGTGTTCACGGAATCCCGGGAGTTGCGGACAGGCACTTGATCTATAGACAGGATTCCCGCGACTTGTGACGACGCGGCCCGACGATGACCGACATGGCGTCATTTGGTTGCGACAAACGCGATGCGGGTGGGGAACGAGACAACACAACATGAAACGGCTCAACACCCAACACAATCTCGACGGCTGCATGGCTGAAGTCCGTCGGCATCTGGACTTCATCCCGGCAGCGTGGAACACAGGGCACCTGTATGACAACATCCAACTCCTGAAGGCGGCGCCGCCGAACGCACTCACCCCCGAGGGCTTCACGCCGCATAGAGTACTGCTTTGTTTTTTCTCGCAGTGCCGCCGTGACAAGTCCGGATGCCGGCGGACTTCGACGGTTGCATGGCTGAAGTCCGCCGGCATTCGGACTTCATCCCGGCAGCATAGAACACAGGGCACCTGTATGACGGCATCCAAGTCCTGAAGGCGGCGCCGCCGAACGCACTCACCCCTGAGGGCTTCAGGCCGCATAGAGTGCTGCTTTGTTTTTTCTCGCAGTGCCGCAGTGACTAGTCCGGATGTCGGCGGACTTCGACGGCCGCATGGCTGAAGTCCGCCGGCATCCAGACTTCATCTCAGCAGCATGGAACACAGGGCATTTGTATGACAGCATCCAAGTCCTGAAGGCGGCGCCGCCGAACGCACTCACCCCGTGAGGGCTTCAGGCCGCATAGAGTGCTGCTTTGTTTTTTCTCGCATAGCCGAAGTGACAAGTCCGGATGCCGGCGGACTTTGACGCACAACACGAATCGTCCCCCAGCAGTCGCTTGCGCTAGTTTGGTTTATCTGCTTGTTCTTACCTTCTTCTTTTTTCTTTTTTGCTTCTAATATCCTTTTCCTGGTTTTGTCCCTTCTGTGGCCGTGTGTTGAGGCATGATGTGAATGACTGATTGGCTGGCATGGTGTGTGTGTTGCTCATCATAGGGGTCTTGGTCGTTGGTGCTATGTGCACTATATACACAATCCGCTCCCGCCGCCTCCATGTGTGAAGTTCGCCGGTATCCAGACTTCAGCTCAGCAGCATGAAACAAAGCGCACCTCGAGTGGGCCAGCGCCGCCAGGGGGTCTGACCACAGGCAAGCCGCATTGTCGCGTCGTGTGTGAAGTTCGGATGCTGGCGGAGTTCGGGACTGAGACTCGGTGCCAGAGACTCGGTGTCGGACACTCTGCCATAATTCTGTCACCGTTGCCTGCGCATGGTTCGGATGCCGACCGGGTTCGTGAATGAGAGTCAGTGCCAGAGACTCATTGTATGAGCCCCTAACAGCGGCTTCGTCCTCTGTGTCACTTTTTTTTGCGCTAGCCACCGGACCACCTTCGTTCAGGGCCAGACAGCAGGTCGCTCGCGCGGGCAGTCGCCTGGTTCACTCTCGCCGTTTATCATAACTCTCCTGCTGTTTGGGTCTCCAGGAACAGCTGCTGCGCGTCTTCCACGTCCGATTGGTGGTGTGCTTCCGCAGCGATATTGAACACTTCGTGGCTGCCTCTCAGCGAATGGCCTGACAGTGTGTGCCTGTCTTTGTTTTTCCTCCTCTTGTGCAGCCAAGATGTCGGCGGTTAAGGAAGACGAGCTGCCAGCGGAAACCTCGGGGCGAGAGTTGCGGACCCCCAAGAAGTGGTCTCGTCTCGTGGAGACTAAATGGTTTGTCGACTGGTGTTGCGGGGATGTGTCGCGTCCTGCGGACCCGCCGTGCGGTCCCGTCATTTTTTTGGAAGACAAAAAAGGGCGTCGGCTGTTGGGTCCTGTTTCGGGCTGGCAGGAGGCGAAGAAAGAAGACGTCCACCACTTCCTCATGCCGGTTGTTTTCGGCTCGAAGGGTCACATTACTGAAAGTTCGAAGGGGGCTGACTTGAGTTGGTCCCTCTGTCAAGACTTCGGCGCATGAGCTGTGAACACCCCTTTCTACCGCGAACTTGCGGTGAGAGCCGCCGTGACAGCCCGCGCGTTTTTCGACATACTGTCAGAGAACCGGGTCCTCCTAGACACCCCGTGCGATGTTCAAAGCGATTTGGAGTTAACTCTACCCATTCAGCAGGGCACCGGGGCGGGTTGTACTGGTGCGACAATGGGAGCGGAGGGTTCGGGGGTCGTGTGTTCGCGGGAGATGTCTCGTGCTGACGGTCGGGGAAATTTCGTCACCGACGAAGAGGACGAGGCCCTGGTGGCGGTTGCCTCGCTTGCGACACCGACTCGGGTCTCAGCGCTGCGTATTCAGGAACGGCTGGCAGACTTCGCTTCGGGAGGAGTGGTCGACGCCCACTGAAGGTTCTCGTCCCGTGGCCGGTGAAGACGTTCGTCTTCAAGAAGTGGGGTGCGGTGGTGAGGAGGGCGTGAGACGAACTCAGGCAAAGCGTGGTGCAAGTTCGCGGGAGGAAAGTATTGAGGGAATGAAAAAAACGAAGACAAACACACCTCGATCCGCTGGACGTAAAAGGAAGGGCGCAGAGGGAGGAGGCGAGACGTCGGCAACAAAAAGGTCGTCTTTGAGCATTCGAGAGTCAGGGGCCGCCGTTGTGTCCGAGGGGAGAGTCATCGATGTTGAGGCCGGTTATTTCTTGGAGTGGGACAGCGGCATTCGGACTAAAAGGGAATTTCTTATCAACCCGCGGCAGGTGCTCACGATCGGACGGTGGGAGCCGTCGTACAACCAACGTTCCCTCGATCCAGTGCTTACGCAGCGGATCGTGCGCGCTATAACCAGGGCAGCCCAGGATAAGCAGAGTTCGTACGAGCTGCCCACGTTGAAGCTGGCTCCCCTCGGGCTGGAGAAACCGCGGGACAATGTGCCTGCGCGAAGGCTGAAGCCCGAGGAATGGAAGGACGAGTTGGCGCGCGAATACTACTACTATGCGGTGGCCGGGCAGCACAACGCCGCGGCGGGCAACTTGTTGCTTGGGACCGACGTCGCGGACAAGTACAACTTCGATAACTGGCCCGCCCGCATGGTGTACTTCTCCGACGAYGACTTCGGTGGATACTTCATTGTCAGCTCGGAGGACAACAAGAAGGACCTCAAGGCCCCTCCTCGACAACTCAAACTCGCGATGCAAGATATCCGCTGGTTTTGGCAGCAAAAGGGTTGCCCTAGAGCGGTCATGGGAAACCCACGGGGGAAAGAGAAACAAGTGGAAGACTGGCGGGCGTTCTGCGCAGTTGCGCTCCACAAAACACCCTACACACACCTGTGGACTCTTCCCGACAGCAAGGAGGAGGACGCTGCGAAGAGGCAGAATGCAGCCCTTCGATGTTACTTCCCGCTGGTCATGGCCGGAGAAAAAGCTTGGCAGGACGGGATGGCTTTTCTCGAGAAGTGGGAGACGGGGAGACTGCTGGCCCCCGACGGGGCGAAGAGGATAACCAAGAAGAAGAAGGTGAAGGGCGTAATGGAGGGTCTGGACTTCCGCGACAATGAGAAGACGGGCACGAAAGAAGTGGTTTACAATGTCCATGTGGAAGCCCCCATGAAGAAGGGCAAGAAGGAGAAAGAACCCGGCAAATGGTATATGCAAGTCCTGGAACCGGATGTACAGTGCTGGAAGATTATGGAATCCCTTACAGACAATGAGAAACGCTGTTTGTTAGGGAAGGTCATGAACTGCGAGGTGGTCTGGGTCCWGTCGGGCTCTTCCTCGTTGGCCAAGCAAGGGAAGCTCGACATTACGGAGGCTGTGCAACTGGCTAAGTGCGACCGGGTTCTGGTCCGCTTATGGAACTTTTACAAGTTCAAACATGAGGCCAAACCGGACTGCGAATGGACCGCGAGGTTCAATTTCCTTAAAAAAAGGGAACAGATTCTGACGGAGTTCGAGGCCATGGGAATGGATGCAGGGCTGTGGGACGGGAGTAGGAAGCTCGTGGTGGACGCGTCGCTGTTCAGGGAATGCCCTTTGTACATGGGATGCGACGACGACAAGAACATCAAGGCGACTGAAAAACTGGCGGCCAACAAAAAGTTGACCCCTGAGTGGCGGAACAAGGTCGTCTCCGTGTTGAACGGCAGCAGGGCGAAGCGACGGGAGGTGGCACTCACGGAGGGCATGCTCAACATTCTCKGGACAGACACGGGGGAAATGACCTCAGTTGCTCCTTTTGCCGTCGACCCCTTGGAGGCTTTGAGCCGGGTGGTTGAACTCGAGAAGGTGGCCGTGGCCACAAAAAGTCACACTTGCGTTCTCGGCCTGTGCGAACCGGTCGATCTCTCACAGTGGCCGCCGTCTGCTTTCCAAAGTTTGAACACTCTACTCGGACAGTTATTCCCGGGAAGTTGGACGCTGGTGGTTTTCGTTCCCCGGCATTGGGACTTGTCATTCATGACAAGCCTCCGGCATCTCTCCGTCGTCAGGGCAATGGCTGGGAGGTGGGTGCGGCGGGCCCAACAGAAGAAGACTATTCCCGTGGGCCACAACTGGTACTCCGTGGACGACCGCATGTATATTCTCTTCAAAGGTGACGACCTTAGAGAGAACACTGCGGTCGTTTACGACGCGAGGCTGTCGGCGGGGGACGTTGCGCGGTGGGGGTCCATCAGAAAGTCACTCCCACGGACATATCTGAGATGCCTTTCCATCCTTGCGAGTGGCCGTTGTCGACCACGGGACACGAAGGGAAGGTGTACAAAGAGATGGAGCGGAACCCGGGGCAATTGGCAAATCTGTTGGGGTTCCTCTGCAAAAAAGGGGAAGGTGTCACGTTCATTGGGAAACCACATGCGCAAGTCGTGTGGGAGGTGTTGCAAAACAGGCGTCATGTTGTCGTGTTGGAAGGAAACTCAGAGTTCTTGCAGTACATGGTGGACTACATCAAAAGCGAGGTCAACTCTAGAGCCAGCCGATGCGAGTTCGCCGTGCGGACCGAGAAAGCGGTGCGCGTCTGGGATCCGTCGACGGACATGTGGTTCAAATTGAGCGAGAGGAAAAGAAACAAGATTTTCTGCTTCCTCTTCCTGGAAACCCGGCCGAAGAGTGAAGCCGACCAGGAGCACGTGCGACACAGGGACCACATGTTGTCGTTGCTTGACAACTACCATGGCGCCTATCGGAGAAATGCGAAGAACTTTCTCGACAGGTTGGCGGGTCTGTACTTCGAAGAGTCTATCTAGATCTTGAGGTACCACGACTACGCGTCGATGTTTTCCACCGAGGATGAGGACGAAACGGGGACTGTATTTGACGCTGGCATGACAGAGGAGGGCAGCGATACGGAGAGTCTCGACATCGGATACGCGCCCTCGCCTGCCCCGACCACCGCCGACTCTTCAGCAGCCGGCCCATCAACCAGCCAACCCCCGCAGATGACACAGACTTTAACGACAACCTCGGGAAAGACACCGAAGAAGTTGTCGTCAAGACTGCGCCCCGTTGGAGCTGTCGCTGCCCCGTTGCGTCCTGGGAGTTTTGTTCCTCTCGATCACCCATCTCGACGCGACGAGAGCATCCACTTCGAGGGCCACGACCACACCAGGTCCGGCGAGGCGGATTGGGGCCACGACATGATTTGACATCCAGGGACCATACAGCGTGCGGTTCTGAAGGGCGAGTGGGTCATGGCCATGATCAATGACGACAGCCAATGGGCGTCATACGCGCGCCTGTCTGTGTCCGAATTTCTGGACTTGGCTAGGGAAATGGTGGCAGAGAAGGTTAGGGCAGAAAATCCCGGGGTCGCCGGGGACGACCTGTCCATCGCCTACACCACCGACAGACTATTTCAAGAACTACGCGCCAAAACGTGGTTGGAAATGGAAGACGCTTTCTACGACCTCGACACCAGCCCTTCGAAAGGGAAGGTCGATTGGAAGGTGTCCCCCCCTGCGGTTGTCCCGAGGGGAGGAGGGGGGT